TATCTAGTCTGCAACAGGTATGTACATTCATACCCTACATCCGACACTCATATCTAGTGTGTAACAGGAATGTATGCACATATTATACATCCGATATTCATATCTAGTCTGCAACAGGTATGTACATTCATACCTTACATCCGACACTCATATCTAGTGTGTAACAGGAATGTATGCACATATTATACATCCGATATTCATATCTAGTCTGCAACAGGTATGTACATTCATACCCTACATCCGACACTCATATCTAGTCTGTAACAGGACTACACGTTCATACCCTACACCCGACACTCATATCTAGTCTGCAACAGGTATGTACATTCATACCCTACATCCGACACTCATATCTAGTCTGTAACAGGACTGTACATTCATACCCTACATCCGACACTCATATCTAGTCTGTAACAGGACTACACGTTCATACCCTACATCCGACACTCATATCTAGTCTGTAACTGGATTCTACTTTTATACAATACATCCGCCACTCATTTCATACCCAATCTGAAGCAATTGATAGTATGAAGTTTTAGTGGCGGACCTACTCTCCTTGGAAAGCATTGTTCTTCATTACATATTCACAAGTGGTTTGGCACAAACCGGAATTTAATGACTAAAGTTGTAAAGAAGATTAGTGAATTAATTGTTTGTAGAAACACACCATGTACAAGTACAAGTAAAAAAAAGGTGTTCAGATAAGTTGTACAGGAATGTCCTACGGTAACGGTAGCCTTCGGTAGTAAACAATACCACGGATAGAAAGATTATATATTCAAATATTTAGCTACTTGCTTGGGTTAAGAAAGTACACGACCGGACCACACTGTGTTACTCTCCTTGTACTTTTTCAGGAGTCTCCGTGTACATTTTGTTTTAGTCATATTTTGACCTAGTTTTATTTAATTGGAGTTTGAATGATGATTTTGCTGACATGTTTTATGTTTTTGTTTTTTGTTTTTAGAGCAGGTATCTGCACTATTTGGAGTTTTGTGCCATTTTCGTAGACCTCAGAAAAATATGGGTTTTTTTTTTTTTTTGTTCATTATGATCCTGTTTAGTACTTATTTATTTATCAAAGTGCACATACCGTTTATGTCTCCTGCAGAAGTTTGTGTAGGGATACGTTTCCATGGCAAATATTGCACAGACTTAAGAAACTCAGACTTCCAACTATCTAGATTGGCACTAGAATTGATTCACAAGTAATCATCAGGATTCATTTGTTTTTGTACTGCAAAGTCTCGTGATCCTCCTCTTGATTTTGAAAATAAGATGACAAAACTAATTAAAGCATTATATTTTCGTCAAATCATACAATTGTTTGGATGTTGTTGGAGGAGAGGGACATCAAACCATACAATTGTTTGGATGTTGTTGGAAGAGAGGGACATCAAACCATACAATTGTTTGGATGTTGTTGGAGGAGAGGGACATCAAACCATACAATTGTTTGGATGTTGTTGGAAGAGAGGGTTTGGACATCAAACCATACAATTGTTTGGATGTTGTTGGAGGAGAGAGGGACATCAAATCCATACAATTGTTTGGATGTTGTTGGAGGAGGAGAGGGACATCAAACCATACAATTGTTTGGATGTTGTTGGAGGAGGAGAGGGACATCAAACCATACAATTGTTTGGATGTTGTTGGAGGAGAGGGACATCAAATCATACAATTGTTTGGATGTTGTTGGAGGAGGAGAGGGACATCAAATCATACAATTGTTTGGATGTTGTTGGAGGAGGAGAGGGACATCAAACCATACAATTGTTTGGATGTTGTTGGAGGAGGAGAGGGACATCAAATCATACAATTGTTTGGATGTTGTTGGAGGAGAGGGACATCAAACCATACAATTGTTTGGATGTTGTTGGAGGAGAGGGACATCAAACCATACAATTGTTTGGATGTTGTTGGAGGAGAGGGACATCAAACCATACAATTGTTTGGATGTTGTTGGAGGAGGAGAGGGACATCAAATCATACAATTGTTTGGATGTTGGAGGAGGAGAGGGACATCAAATCATACAATTGTTTGGATGTTGTTGGAGGAGAGGGACATCAAATCATACAATTGTTTGGATGTTGTTGGAGGAGAGGGACATCAAACCATACAATTGTTTGGATGTTGTTGGAGGAGAGAGACATCAGACCATACAATTGTTTGGATGTTGTTGGAGGAGGAGAGGGACATCAAATCATACAATTGTTTGGATGTTGGAGGAGGAGAGGGACATCAAACCATACAATTGTTTGGATGTTGTTGGAGGAGGAGAGGGACATCAAACCATACAATTGTTTGGATGTTGTTGGAGGAGGAGAGGGACATCAAACCATACAATTGTTTGGATGTTGGAGGAGGAGAGGGACATCAAACCATACAATTGTTTGGATGTTGTTGGAGGAGAGAGACATCAGACCATACAATTGTTTGGATGTTGTTGGAGGAGAGAGACATCAGACCATACAATTGTTTGGATGTTGGAGGAGGAGAGGGACATCAAACCATACAATTGTTTGGATGTTGTTGGAGGAGAGGGACATCAAACCATACAATTGTATCGATCCAAGTACGCTGTATCTGACACGGTATTCTGTTTCTGACCCCATTGCCATGTGTCTGACCTCTAGTAACCTCTGTCTGGTCCCGGTATCCTGTATCCGACCTCGATATTCTGTATCTAACACCAGTACGCTGTATCTGACCCTGGTATCCTGTATCCGACCTCGATATTCTGTATCTAACACCAGTACGCTGTATCTGACCCTAGTATCCTGTATCCGACCTCGATATCCTGTATCTAACACCAGTACGCTGTATCTGACCCTAGTATCCTGTATCCGACCTCGATATTCTGTATCTAACACCAGTACGCTGTATCTGACCCTAGTATCCTGTATCCGACCTCGATATTCTGTATCTAACACCAGTACGCTGTATCTGACCCTGATATCCTGTATCCGACCTCGATATTCTGTATCTAACACCAATACGCTGTATCTGACCCTGGTATCCTGTATCCGACCTCGATATTCTGTATCTAACACCAGTACGCTGTATCCGACCCTGATATCCTGTATCCGACCTCGATATTCTGTATCTAACACCAATACGCTGTATCTGACCCTGGTATCCTGTATCCGACCTCGATATTCTGTATCTAACACCAATACGCTGTATCTGACCCTAGTATCCTGTATCCGACCTCGATATTCTGTATCTAACACCAGTACGCTGTATCTGACCCTAGTATCCTGTATCTGACCTCGATATTCTGTATCTAACACCAGTACGCTGTATCTGACCCTGATATCCTGTATCCGACCTCGATATTCTGTATCTAACACCAGTACGCTGTATCCGACGATATCCTGATCCTCGATATTCTGTATCTAACACCAATACGCTGTATCTGACCCTGGTATCCTGTATCCGACCTCGATATTCTGTATCTAACACCAGTGTACTGACCTGGTATCTGACCTGTATCTAACACCAGTACGCTGTATCTGACCCTAGTATCCTGTATCCGACCTCGATATTCTGTATCTAACACAAGTACGCTGTATCTGACACGGTATTCTGTTTCTGACCCCATTGCCATGTGTCTGACCTCTAGTAACCTCTGTCTGGTCCCGGTATCCTGTATCCGACCTCGATATTCTGTATCAAACACCAGTACTCTGTATCTGACCCTGCTAATCTGTATCTGATCCCAGCAACTGTATTTGACTGCAGTAATTGTAACTGTCTGTATCTGTCTGATATCATGTATCTGACTCGAGTAACCTGTATCTGATCACACTACCTGTTTCTGACCCCAGTTACTTTATATATCTGCGTTATCCTGTATCTGACCCCACTACCTGTTTCTGACTCAAGTAACTTTATATATCCGCGTTATCCTGTATCTGACCCCACTACCTGTTTCTGACCCAAGTAACTTTATATATCCGCGTTATCCTGTATCTGACCCCACTACCTGTTTCTGACCCAAGTAACTTTATATATCCGCGTTATCCTGTATCTGACCCCACTACCTGTTTCTGACCCAAGTAAATTGATATATCCGCGGTATCCTGTATCTGACCCCACTACCTGTTTCTGACCCAAGTAACTTTATATATCACCGTTATCCTGTATCTGACCCCACTACCTGTTTCTGACCCAAGTAACTTTATATATCCGCGTTATCCTGTATCTGACCCCACTACCTGTTTCTGACCCCAGTACCTTGTATGTGACACTGATATTCTATATCTTACCCTATTGACCTGTATCTGACCACAGTATTCCATATCTGATCCAAATGCCTTGTTCCTTACATAGAAAAGCAAAAATACCGGTAAATAAATCCACTTGTCTAGGAATTGTAAATATCTCCTGGTTCATCAGCAACGCCAGCTAAATCAATCTTGTAGTAGCACAAAGATACTAGCTACTCACACCTTTTGCTAAACTTACATTGTCTTATCAGAATAACGAGTGAAATATAGTTTGATAGTTAATATTGCTACCATGAACACATTCTGTCAGAGTCGAGTTGTCTTATCAAACATACTTCAGTCGAATTGGGGACGTATTTATCGAAATTGTTTTTTATCATGAGATGTTAAAATCATCATGCATTTGTATACAGTGTATGAATTACTATGGTGAGGCTTGAAATATTTTACACAAACGGTCAAATATAGATAAGTCATTTATATGAGCTTAATAATATACGAGGCTGTCGTGCAGGGATATGCAGTGCGACAGGTGAAATATTCACCTGCACGAAGTACTAGCTGCCAGGGAATACCGACACATATCTGTGTGACTATGGAGAGGAAAGCATAAACTACAGGTGTTTATTTATATGTTAGAATGTGGTGCTGTTGATAAGAACTGGCAGTTTTCACCTGTACCTGTAACTAGTCACTGTAGGAAGTTACAAAAGACACAGTACATTAAAACTACTGTATCAACCACAGGTCTTTCTTCAGAAGTAATGAGCACGGTGACGAAGGAAAACTACTCCGGGGAGGTGGTTGGTTGTGATGTGGGTGATATAACACTACAAATTCATCTCCCGTGTGACGACGGCGACGATGAAGAGACTGATGACTTTCCGGACGACGAACCCCTACTACGTGGATGTGATACTAGTCTATGCAATGGAGCTCAATTCTCCACTGAAGGTCACGTGGTTTTGCAAACAAGGTTTGTTTAATTAGTGAACATAATGTACATGAATAAGACTAAATCTTATCAGTGCTAACCTGTTTAAAACAACACATCATGGATACCTTCTCTAACATGGATTTTTTGTACAGCTATGTAGATTAATCATGACTATAGAAAATCGCGCTAAATGAGTCATTTTGTGTGTCTGTTATAATCTGTACCATACAGATGATATGCCTGATATCTTCCTCGTTGTCGTGCGCCCTGACGGTGTGATATATACGTTAGCATTTCATATGAGTAGACCTATAGTTATGTATGTAGGCACACTGACGGTTAACAGTGTGTAAACACGGAAGTCTAAAGTAGGGGAGCTTAAATTTGGCTATTGTATATTTTATACCGTAGTTACTTTGTGGTGTTTTAACCAGTCAAAAACATAACTACATATATATAAAATTATACTGATGAAATAAATGTAAAAGGAGCGAATACAGTCTCTATCACTCAGCTGATATAGCATGTTTCGATCATCACGCCAGGGACCCGGGTTCGATTCGAGGCACTCGACCAATTGCATGGCGGGTTTCGTCGATGAAGCAGAAAATGCTCACCCTTTTGGAACACCAGATCTTATTCTCACTGTATTTCTTCCTGAACACTTTTCCATGTAAATCTTTCTTTAGTTGATATTTTGCCCTAGTTTCATCGAATTTATATTTGAATTAGGATTTCTATTGACATGTTGTTATTTTCTTTGTTGATTTTGTTGATTCACAGAAGCAAGAATGAACGTGGATTAGCCAGACGCCAGCTATCAACTCCTACAAACCTATCGGGTGGTTTTGGTATACGCAATGGAAACACTCTTCCGTATGTCCCTCGTCCGCCTCAAATCGTTCGCCGACAGACATTGCCATCTAACTTGATACCTGATTTACCAGTATGCCCTGGTGAGATAACAATGGAAGATAGTGTTTATGAAATATCGAAAAACTCTGCTACTCAGATAGATATTAGATGGACATCTCCCTCAAACTCGAATGAAATATCTAATCTGGTGTATGAAATTCAGCTGCAAAAGAATGACGATTGCGATTGGATAAAATTGAGCGACCGTGGGATTCCCATCCTCAGAGTTTACACAACAGAAACTCGATTTATCCTAGACGGTACAAAACGGAGTTTTTCTGAAGGGAAATGCAAATGGAGGTTAAGGATAAGGGGAGTGAGTAAGGGTCATGAAGTCCGCAATGAAGGACCCTGGAGTGAGTACATCACATTGAATATCTTGGATAGTTCATCACATGTTCGAGATGGCGGAACTGCATGATTCTGTGTTATTTCTATAAAGTGATGGGACTTAATGAACCCCGAGTTTTAATGTTATTTCTGTAACGTTAGGGGACTTACTGGACCCGAGTCTTAGTGTTCTCTCTGTAACGTCAGAGTACTTACTGGACCCGAGTCTCAGTGTTCTCTCCGTAACGTCAGAGGACTTACTGGACCCGAGTCTTAGTGTTCTCTCTGTAACGTCAGAGGACTTACTGGAATCGAGTCTTAGTGTTCTCTCTGTAACGTCAGAGGACTTACTGGAATCGAGTCTTAGTGTTCTCTCTGTAACGTCAGAGGACTTACTGGAAGATTGAAGGGGTTGTCTCCCTTGTTATATCTGTAAGAATGTTCAAATGGCATGCAGCATTATTAAAACATGATGTGTATTAAAAACTTCAGTGAACCTTACATTCAGTAGTATACGCGTTTTATATGAATAGCATAAGGGAAATAAGGGACAGTCCGTAGCCACAAGTACCCGCGGAAGTGATGTTAGATTTATAGCAGTATTATGTCAAAACGAGTACAATTTGAAAATAATGATAATAAAAAAATACAACAAAAAAAAAACATACATTCTATCCTTAAAAATCAGTTTGAAGTATTTTGGTTTAGGTTCTGCACAAAAAGTATTAACATATCAAACACGAATTACCTAACCCATCCCTCCCCCTCCTCATTCCCATTCAGCACATACACGCCTCCAGATATAGAATTAATATCACATGGTAAAGCCATTTTATGTTTTTTCTTTTCATTTTACCCTGATTTTGATATTTCCTTTTTTTCTTTCAAGTAATTCAACTTTCATTGTTTGAATGGCTAATAACGCCAATTTCATACAAGGTAAGAAGCAAAATTACGCGGAAATTGTATAAAATTGTGGAACTTTTCTAAAATTAATTTCACATTTGTAGTCTACTGTATTTATTGTCGCACTACTTTATCTTATCGCTTTGTTTAAATTCACGTCCATCATCTGAGTGTGACTACAGCAAAGGAGCTACTTCATCATTTATTGGTCTGTCTATGATAACCGTAACTTGATATCTCAACACTGCAGGATTCAATATCAAATATACAACGAAAACGCATCTTTCATACGAAATTAAACCCGAATCTTCGTTTCATCGTCTAGTTTGTATGTGGTGTCTTCTTGATTTGTCAAAAAAAATGTATGAATAAATACACCGACGAGGTTTGTGTTTCTATTTGTCGTTCTTCTGAAGATTCCATTTGAGATCGTTCGCATTTTGTCAGAGATTTAATATTTGTTCACAACTTTAAGCCATTGACTCAGCAGCTTATGGACAATGGCTCTACAATAGAGTAGTATAACCTATTTATTTGACACGGAGACGTAGTCGATCATCAACACTGTAATATTATAGTCTAACCTATTGTTGTCCAATTCCTTTTGTTCTAAGATCCCTGCAATAAATGCTATTCGGAAACCTTTTGTTTTTACTTGACGAATGTAGTGTACCATTATGATGTGATATTGTATTTTATCTCTAAGATGTAGTGTGTTATTAGTGTTGTAATATATAGTATTCTAAACTATTGGTTTTTTAATCTCTAAGATGTAGTGTGTTATTAGTGTTGTAATATACAGTATTCTAAACTATTGTTTTGACTCGGAGATGTAGTTTGTTTTGAGTGTTGTAATATAGTAACCTAACTACTTTTTCTTATCTTCGAGATGTAGTGTATTATCATCTGTTGACACGGTAAGAAGAAATTAGTTTTTACTTTCATATTGAAGTTCGAAAATATTTTGTTCAAGTGTGTACAAGCTCTGGTATATAACTTGAACAGCCACTACCTCTATGATAAGCATCATGTGCGTAAGTTGCAGCACTTGAGAATCAGTATGTGATGCACTCAGCACGTGGTGTATCACTCTAGACTCAGCATGTGGTGTAGCACGCTAGACTCAGCACGTGGTGTGTCACTCTAGACTCAACATGTGGTGTATCACTCTAGACTCAACATGTGGTGTATCACTCTAGACTCAGCATGTGCTGTATCACTCTAGACTCAGCACGTGGTGTATCACTCTAGACTCAGCATGTGCTGTATCACTCTAGACTCAGCACGTGGTGTAGCACACTAGACTCAGCATGTGCTGTATCACTCTAGACTCAGCATGTGGTGTATATCACTCTAGACTCAGCATGTAGTGTATCACTCTAGACTCAGCATGTGGTGTATCACTCTAGACTCATCATGTGGTGTATCACTCTAGACTCAGCATGTAGCGTATCACTCTAGACTCAGCACGTGGTGTAGCACTCTAGACTCAGCATGATGTGGTATGACACTCTAGACTCAGCATGTGATGTAGCACGCTAGACTCAGCACGTGGTGTATCACTCTAGACTCAGCATATGCTGTAGCACTCTAGACTCAGCACGTGGTGTAGCACACTAGACTCAGCATGTGCTGTATCACTCTAGACTCAGCATGTGGTGTATATCACTCTAGACTCAGCATGTAGTGTATCACTCTAGACTCAGCATGTGGTGTATCACTCTAGACTCATCATGTGGTGTATCACTCTAGACTCAGCATGTAGCGTATCACTCTAGACTCAGCACGTGGTGTAGCACTCTAGACTCAGCATGATGTGGTATGACACTCTAGACTCAGCACGTGATGTAGCACGCTAGACTCAGCACGTGGTGTATCACTCTAGACTCAGCATATGCTGTAGCACTCTAGACTCAGCATGTGGTGTATCACTCTGACTCAGCATGTGGTGTATCACTCTGACTCAGCATGTGGTGTATCACTCTGACTCAGCATGTGGTGTATCTCTCTAGACTCAGCATGTGGTGTATCTCTCTAGACTCAGCATGTGGTGTATCACTCTAGACTCAGCATGTGCTGTAGCACTCTAGACTCAGCATGTGCTGTATCACTCTAGACTCAGCATGTGCTGTATCACTCTAGACTCAGAATGTGCTGTATCACTCTAGACTCAGCATGTTGTGTATCACTCTAGACTCAGCATGTGCTGTAGCACTCTAGACTCAGCATGTGGTGTATCACTCTAGACTCAGCATGTGCTGTATCAATCTAGACTCAGCATGTGGTGTATCACTCTAGACTCAGCATGTGCTGTAGCAATCTAGACTCAGCACGTGGTGTATCACTCTAGACTCAGCATGTGGTGTATCACTCTAGACTCAGCATGTGCTGTAACACTCTAGACTCAGCATTTGGTGTATCACCCTAGACTCAGCATGTGCTGTAGCACTCTAGACTCATCATGTGCTGTATCACTCTAGACTCCACATGTGGTGTATCTCTCTAGACTCAGCATGTGGTGTATATCACTCTAGACTCAGCATGTGGTGTGACACTCTAGACTCAGCATGTGGTATATCTCTCTAGACTCAGCATGTGGTGTATCACTCTAGACTCAGCATGCGGTGTATCACTCTAGACTCAGCATGTGGTGTATCACTCTAGACTCAGCATGCGGTGTATCACTCTAGACTCAGCATGTGGTGTATATCACTCTAGACTCAGCATGTGGTGTGACACTCTAGACTCGGCATGTGGTGTATCACTCTAGACTCAGGATGCGGTGTGGTACTATTGTCTGAAATATGTAATTTTTTCCCTTTTTACTGTACAATCTCTATACGATCCATCACATTATGAACTAAGCTTTGGTCTTTATTTTTGAAGTACTACATAAACAAAACAATATAGGAAGTAAATTACTGTCGACTCTACATTATTTAATCATATATAACGTGTTATTATACAAATTATTTCTTTTAGTGTTATAAGACAAAGAAGAAAACAGTCAGTCCGTTATTTGTCTTTTTAATGTATAAATCATGTGATATTGCCCAGTATTAAATAACCGCCTGTTGACAAGGAAATAACTCTGTATGTTTTGATATGTCTTTTAAAATAGTGAATAATAGCAATATGCTTCCTTACATAACAGTTAACTCAATACACACATATATTCGTCAATTCTTGGTACATAAGAAATGGAGAGTGTAACAAATATGCATTTAATTCATTTTAACACCGAGGAAAATGATTAACAAATGGGTTATTATCTAAAGTACTTTCCATTTCGTTTTACAGTATTTATCAAGAGTTATTTCCCTTAGATAATATAAAGTTTGCTACACTTTTTGTCGGTTTTTCTTTGGAAAACATTGTTATCAAACTTATATCATGCTTGTTTTTAGTTGAAATGTTCTCCTTTTTTTGTTTTTACGTGTTAGGGATGTTGTACACTTCACTCGAACTGCTTTTGTTCTATATGATAGATCCATGCAAATCAAAATCGTTAACTCACCTTAAGTGTTGACGCTGTAGTAGTGCAGTATATATAACGCCATTATTTTCTTCCTTTGTCTGTTTTAAGGTTCGCTCACACAGCTACGATTTTGTATTTAGTAGTGTTTGTGTTTCAGCATGTACACATTTATTGTTTTTCTTTTCGATAGCGTTTGACATATTTTCCATATTTAGTTGACATAGTATACATGTCTGTGTGTAAAAGATTAAATATATAATCCTATATTGAAATTGGTGTGTCATCACCTAGCTATTCACATGACTGAAGGTCAACATTCATGACACTCCATCCGCTGTCCAAAAAAGAAACAGCTTCTGGTACGTGACATGACTTTTAGTCTGTGAAAAGGTAATTATTTTGTTATATTTATTCCAAACATTATGTATGTTTCCATAGTGATAGCAATGATATATGCTTTGCATGTCCATTCGTGTTAAATGCGTGATGTGGTATATTCATATACTTAAGATTTGACGTGTGTCTTATTTTGGAGATTAAACAGCACAAAACCGATTGATCTTATCGTATAATAATTTGTTTTTAGCATGATATCCAAATGGAAACAGTAAGCATTTGCTAAGTATGAATGATTTCATACTGAATTCAAATTATTAGTACCGGGAAATCGTTCGACAGTAGTATTTTAAAATGTTAGTTGAATGTTA